ACAATAACGATACGGCAGCAGCGACGAAATAAAACCCGTAAAATTTACGCTCTCCCGTTATTTGGGGGGGGGGGGGGGGAAAAAAAATCCAATTCGCATTCGCAATTGGCGTCACTACCGAGAAGGAGCTATACGTAGCTTATTGTGTGTGTGAATACTACGGCGCGCACTTGTTTGCTTGCTGGTTGGTTAGTTGGTTGCATGTGCTTTCGATGTGAAGAGCACACGGCCTGCTGTTTCACTGTTTTATTTCGATAAATAATGCAAATAATAATTTACAGTGTAAGTGGAATTATGGCGCGTACACAAAATATGGGTATGTGTGTATATGTGTATAAATATGTCGAAGTCTTATTCCGTATCCAGCTGAAGCATATTAAATATAATAAGCGAAATAAAATGCCATCTCTTCCGTCGACGTCGTTGCTTTTTTCTGCTTCATTTTGGTCTTGGGGACGGGATATGGTTTTCGCTGTGCCGACGTGTACTTATATGAATTATTGCCCGTGTGTCGTACACTCTATGACGAAAACATACGGAATCCATGCCGAATAATGCCTATGGTTTTATGGTTTTGACGATGGGACGCATCTTGTGCTCCGCGATCCCGATTTCAGGCGAAAAACACAAACGATGCGAAATGTATTTATTCGTATTGTGCAGACATTTCAAAACAAAACACAAAAATGAGTCCTTGATTGTAGCACAATAACGAAGTTTATAGCATTGATATAAATTATACCGCACTCTGGCGACAATGTACAGGCACAAACTCACACATACACCAAGGGGGTTTGAGCTCGTGCAAGCGAAAAATTTATAACGTATCTTTGTTTTGTTGTTCGTTTAAGTGCATCGCAATTGAACTATATGAAATTCGTACAATTCTCGTTCGCACTACACGGTGCACACGAAGCTGATGATGAAGCACGGCCAGAGGTGAACAAGAGGCGAAATACGATAGTGGGTGGTTGTTGTTGTTGTGTTTTTTTCTTCTGAAGTTGTTTTTCTTCGTCAATGCTTTTATACTTAGTTTGCCTTCGGAGATTTTACAGACAATGCTCAACTCAAAAGAGACAATTTGTGAATCTACACTTCACATACGCTACGGCACACATATGTACAGTGCACAAACACACGAACGTCCCTTCTCCACTCTGACATAATCATTTTTCTGGCATATTTCTCGTTCGCCGTTTTTCTTTTGCCACATTCGCCGTTATTGAGTCTGAAAAGATTTATATGTCACATCGTTGTTTAGTGGTTTGAAAATTACACAGCATTTCCCATTCATTGGGTCCACCGACATAAAAGAATATGACAAATCGCTGGCTCAATGCATGTTCCAAATATATACAGCATATAATTTATACTATGTCGTTGTGGGAAACATGTTCGCTACATCGACTGACTGAAATTGAGTTTTCGCGACTAACGCATGGATAGAGTAACATACACACAAAATATAATATAATTTTCAATAAAATTCTTTATTGATTCTTCCAATTTCGATAGCCAAATTTAGAAATGATTATTATTGGTGGTGGCTGAAATGGTATTATTGGTGGTGGCCGAAATTTAACGGACTTGAACTGCAATTGGTTTTGCGTCAAAATCACCGTGATCAGCTTGATTGTTGTTATTATTATTGTTCAATTTCAATTGTGCAATCAGTTTTTTCACGTTTTCGTCCATTTTCTCAACCATTTTACTCATTTTTCCTATTTTTCTATCATGCTCTCTTTGCATGGCAGCATGTTTTTGATCAAGCCCGGCAAATTTATGATGATGAGTCACAGTGCCATACTTTGGTTGTGCTTGGTATCCCATATGCCCAGCAGATAGAGGTGATGCAATCCCGTAAGAGTTCTGTAATAATGATGGAAAGACCGTACCTTGTGGTTGTTGTAAAGCCAAGTGCTGAGAACGAACTTGTTGTAAACCGAAGTGCTGAGGACCAACTTGTTGTAGACCAACTGGTTGGAGACCAACTGATTGGACGCCCAGTTGTGGGAGAATGACCGTTGAAAAAGCGCCTTGATATTGGGAATTGGCTGGTGGGAGACTGACCGATGGAAAACTACCTTGATAAACGCCTTGTTGGAGAGAATTTGTCGGAATGGCCTGTACAATTGCTCCTTGCTGAGGACTGGTTTGTGCAAACGAAGTATACTGTTGCTGTTGTCCCGGATTTGCCGCCTATAATTATACAATTTAGATGGCAAATTGAATGAATTCTAAAATTTTCCCCAAAGTCCTTATGCAACTCAAGAAAAACTTACGATGAAAATCGGCGAACAAATTAGGAAGGTAATAAAGAAGACTTTCATTTTGCAAAGAACTTGATGTAACTGCTTGAATATTCAAACTGGCTATGCGGCTGGTCTTTATATATTGTTTATCGATGTCGATTACTTCATTTGACGCAATTTCCAAGGAATTCCAATAAAGTCATCAAAAGCAATAAAAGTTATTGAGCAAATAAAGACACTTGTAATTTGTCGTTGTTCTCCATCGCAATAATAATACGTTACCAAAAAAAGTAATTAGTATGCCTCAACCATCCAATTAGAAATGGTGATGTTTGTCGAAATTGATGGAAAAAAAACCTTAATCAACATTTTAATTTGCATAGAAATTACCATTTAAGCGAAAAACACTGACAATTTTGCAATTTTAAACTCGACCAAATCAAGAGCGTACCGCGTTCTATTTGTTTTTAATTTCAAATTTCTTGTTTACTTTTTCTGTTCGCCCGTGCACGAGCGTTCGTTCATTCTGAACGCTATACGTGACTCTGAATAAATGTTTTCGAGAAAAGGTGGCAAGAGTTTATGGTTGCTGAAAGCATGAGAACAGCAGAAAAAGCCGGTTTCAAAATGCATTTTATCCTTTGAGCTGTAACCGTGTGTGACGATGATGATAAAATTAAATTAGGATGTAAACAAACAAACGAAAACTGTGCTCGCAGTTAGCATAAGTCTGCATTTTTTCGGTTTCTTTTCTTCTTTTCCATTTTTCTATTGTTGTAAAATTTATCGAAAATGCTGACGAGGACAACAACAATGACAATAATTTGGTTCCTTCGTTAGTTTGACTTTTAGATGTGATGAGAGAGAAAAGCAAAAAGTGAGAAAAATCACGTTTTTATTTGCCCAACTTTAGAGTAATCATTAGCCATTTTTCATTCGGAAGTTTCAACGAAACGAAGTGGGAAACGAACTGAAAAAACAACAACAAGACCAAATGAAAGGAACGAAATGAGAGAAGGGAAAAAAGACAAAATACGTGCATCTTTGCACATTTTGTTTTGCTTGCGCATTTTTATCATCCGGCTCATTTTGGGATATTTCTTGAAGTGATTCCTTTTTTACCATCTTTCTCTCTCTCATATTCACTTTCGCTCCCTGCTTCCTCTTTCTCTCCCATGTGTCGTCGGCATCTGAACCGATTTGATAGACAGAATCCGGCTAATAACGCATGAGATGGCATCCAACCAACAGCACATACAAATTACCTTTTGGATTACACATTTCGTTTTCGGCCATCACTCAGGTAATGGTGCAGAAGAATGTGTTGCCATTGCAAACATCACGTAAATCTCATTACAATTGAAACCGGATAATAAATAAGAGAGGCATTTTTTCCCATTTGCTTGTAAATTGCTTTGCGATTCCATAGTGTACCGCGCGCATACACACACTCTTGCTTTCGCCCAGTGTATGGCTCGGCACGGTATTTCGATTCAAATAAATGCGACTGGAGCATTTGACACGCACCAAATTGCAATCGGATGGAGCGCGCGTACAGAGGAAAAGAGGGAAAAACAAGTAACGCATTACAACAACAACAGCAGCGAGAAACGAAAGAAATTAGTGGAAGTCGTGACCCAACTCGATTTTGTATGGGAATGCTTTGATTTCATGAGGAGAAATTGTGTGCGTAGATCAATGTTTTGAACGAACACGGCAAATGTATGCATAACCATCAATCAAGCCTCTGGTGCAGTGGGTAGCAAAATGAGTGAACGAACGAGAGATGTAGAGAGAGAGAGAGCGAGAGAATGAGCGAGCGAGCGAAAAAAACGTATCTAGTCAAGGATTCGTTAAATTTTATGATTTATGAAAATAACGTGCACTTTACCGTGGCCGTGTGATGTATTCGCCTGAACTTGGGTGCAAAGTGTGTGTGTATGTATGTATATGCATTTCGTACCTGGACATTTATAGGTGGAGAGAAACAGAAAAAAAATTATACTCACAATGAATGATTGTTAAATCGCATGCTGCAGTCTGTTCAACATCTGAATGAGTTTTCAGATTTAATTCGTTCGAATTGTGCGCGTGATTTTTTTCTGCGCGGTATTTTTCCTGCTACTATTAATTTTGCAATAATTTCACAATCGTCGGCGGATTGTCTCAGCGGCACACCGATTCAATTGATTTTCACAAAATAGACCCTTTTTCCCCATTTGTTTGGGTGTGTTTTTTTCTGGTTCTGTCTCGTGGAATTCACAAGCCTGAAGCATTTACACAAAGCTGAAAGCGACACCAAATTCAGATTTTATGAAATTTATTGTTTTCAAAATCAACATTTTATTTGCATTTGTGCATAGCGTGGTTATGGTGAGCTTGTCCTTTCCATTCGATCAGGTTCGCCGATTTCGTATTCTGCCCATTCTGTCACGCATCTGCCCATTCTGTCTGATACACGCGCTCAAACACATTCGATATTCCCTCATATGTATGCTGTCCGTTGGTACTGAACTCAATTCAGCGAAAAATCAACATTAATCACCGGAGCCGCGAAATCCTTATCCATCAGTTTTATTAGTTGCTTTCTCTCGTTTTTTTTTCATTAAATTCCTCCGTTAATCCGATCAAACCGGGATGCACTTGCATACAATTTCGAAACGAGCAACGAAACGAAACGAAAACGCCCTGGCTAAACGACATGCAGAGAAATATTGAACGAATTAAAGAGAGAGAAAAATAAAACCTGGACCATTATCCAAGTGCTTGAAATATTTCCACCAAGTGAAACGAATATTTTGCTAACGAAATTGTTTGAATTTGTTTACATGATTGATACGTGCAAAATGCATCTGCAAATAAAACTCATGTGTTTTTCCAAACTTTTATTGTGGATTGTAAATATTGTGCACAGTTTCAATCTCTGTCCTTCTTTTTTTGCGTGCCCGCTTGTACGCTCACGCGCATCGATGAGCATATAGTATCAGAGAGGAAAAAAAAATGAATCGCTGCACATTTTTTCCTCCGTCTCGCTCGTTGCAGTTTCCGGCAAAATAAATATTAAAAGAGAACCTAGAGAAGAGATTACTTTAAAAACAAACTATCGAATGAAATTTCGAGACTACATGCGAGGAAATATCGAATTTTCAAACTTTTTTGCTCATACCCGAGCAAATCTCGTCTGCCTTGGGTCCAATCATATTGATTGTAATTCAAATTTTGTTTTTTTTTTTGCAAATGTTCTGTTTATTCTTTTCCATTTGTGTTCGATCGATGCCATTGAACACGCATCGGAAGTATTAATAAATTGTCTGGCACTAAACAAAAACATTTCAATTGCAAATCCAATGATTCTTTCAAAAGGCACATTCGCACGATGGTCGTCGTCTATTTTATTTTGCTTCGGACGAAAGGTGCGAACAATTTTTCTGGGTAAAGACGCAAAAATCACTGGTATTTTTGAGATTAATGTAGATTTTTCTACTCTAAAAGCTTAAAAATTTCATGTATTTTTTTTCTCGACTGGACAATGCCAACAAAAAATAAATACTGTTGACATAGTCTAACACAAAAATGTACATAGAGATAGAAAACATGCAGAAAACAACGCACACAAAATTCGTTATGAAAAACGAATGAAAAATGATGGAAAAAAAATCCCTCGAGAGTAGGCATACGCATATGAAAGTGATGAAAAAGTTGAAAAATAAATAAACATCGTGGAGTAAAGAGGACCAAAAAAACCCTACTCATTTTAATGCAAATATGTATTTATATTTTCGTTTAATGCATTCAAATCCAGAGGGTTTTTTGTGTCGTGTCTGTTTTTCTTCATCGGTTTTAAATCGCCTATCGTGCGCTGACACACACTCAAAAATGAGTGTGTGTGTGTGTGTGTGTGAATGTGTGCGAGTACATATGTATACGAGTGCCTGTGTGTGGGTGCGTGTAGTATGTGTTTTATATTTTTTGTTCGTCGTGTTTGAGGATCCACTCGCAGTGTTTACATCACAATGAGTCGATATTCGACGGAAGCAAATAACAAAATATGAAATAAACCAAATAAATCTTGGCGCACAGGGTGCATTTTAGTGGTACGCAGCATATGCGATCCGTTTTGCTACTCTCCAATGGGATACATATTGGATTACGGTAAAATATTTCACCACAGACAATATTTATGATGATGAAACAATACACAACGACATATACAATGGCAATCCAGTGCATTTTACTTGGATGAATATTATATTATTTGGTGCAACGCCGGCGAGAGTAAAATAGAGAGAAAGAGACGGCAAAAAATGACAAGTAATTTCAATCAAACGAATATTTTAAAATAGACGATGCAAATTTATACCGAATATGTTTTTTCCATTCTACTCATAATGGGAGTCGAGTTATGTGAGAGTTTCTCTTCCAACATTTGTAGTAAACAGTAAACGAACATTTGTTTAGTGTGCCATGTAATGATGGATTACATCAATAGCCCGACATTGTATGGTATGTACAAATATTCTGATGAGAGAAACTCTTTTCCGGATTTATATATTACATATCCGTCTGAAAATCTGAATACAACTGAAAACAACGAACGAACAAATATAAGTCATTTCAGTTTCAATTGTTAAGCAAATAATTGAAAATAACCTGAAACAATTCGTTTTCATCAAATTGTCAAGATTTTAACGGAATTCCACAGACAAACATCTCCACATTTTAGCATGACAAACAAAAACTTTATTACATTTTAAAGACAAACCCATTCATTCATTCTGGCAACTTCAAAGCATACACCATAACACTCCAAACGCTTAATCATTTAAAACATCTTAAACCATAGAAAACTTGAGCCAAATTTTTAATGAAAATATTAAATTTCATGATCCGATTTAATTACGGCAAAATTAGAAACAAACTGACCTCAAGCAATGTTAAAGTCAATTCATTTTTCTGCGTATAATTTCCGCTTACCATCACTGCTCCTATTCAATTTTTAAGCAAACGAAACGGTTAACATGGATTTGATTCGTCTTTGATCTGAGTATGTAATTTTGAATTCAAAAAACAAATATTTGCCGCATATATTTGCAATTGCGTGCACAACTTGTTCCCATACAAAAAACCAT